CCACCTTAGGTACATGTGGCTGGCGCCTTAGCCGCTTGAGCCACAGGCGCCGAGCCTGTAATTACTTTTTAAATTACTCTCTCTGATCAGATTGTCACCGCTATAAGTGTAGTTACTATGCCAGAGTTATTCTCCCATGTGTCCCATGCTACTCTCTTAATACTTGGTGCATAGTGGCCTTTCAATAAATAGTTGTTGAAGTCGAAAGCAGAGGCAACAGCAGTTAAAATTTTTTGAGCACTTGTTCTAGGTGTGGGGGTAGAGTAGTAAACAAAGTAAATAGATTCTTGCTTTCATGGGATTTATATGTAATCTATGGGGAGGCATCCCACTCTAATGGACTGAGGTTATGAAGGCAAGAAACTATTTGAGCAACTCTTACTGCAGCTACATAGTTGTAATGGGAGAAGAGGAACACCTCCAAAAACACTGCGGATACTGTTGTCAAAAAAGTAGAGCATTACTGGACAGAGCATTAATACCCACCACCAGCTAGATGAAGAGTGCAACTTCCCAACTGCTTAAGAGAAAAAAAAAGATCAAACTTTAAAACTTTTTTTTTTAATTGAGGCAGAGTCTTATTTTGTCACCCTTGGTAGAATGTGACAGACTCTTGGGCTCAAGTGATCCTCCTGCCTCAGCTTCCCTAGTAGCTGGGACTACAGGTGCCGGCCCAATGCCTGGCTATTTTTAGAGATGGGGGTCTCACTCAGGTGATCCACCCACCTCAGCCTCCCAGAGTACTGGGATTACAGGCATGAGCCACTGTGCCCAGCCCAAACTTTAAAACTTGAAACTGTGACACCCATACTCAAAGGACTAAAGCCAAACCAAAGCCTAGCAAAGTGACAGGCACATTCTAGTTGCAATAAATATTGAATAACAATATCTAACTTGGTCTTTTTTCTCTTTGGTTTTAATCAGCTAACGGAGAACATTGAGCAACTCTTCACCAAATTTGTGGATGAGGGGAAAGCCACTGTTCGTTTAAAGGAGCCTCCTGTGGATATCTGTCTAAGTAAGGTATGGTATTAGAAACATTAATGGTTGGGTTGCTAGGCTGTATTTTCTTTAAAGAAGAAGGCTAAGTATCAGGGTATCCCATATAGCTAAACAGGGACAGATTCTTACAGGTACATTTGAAGAGGCAGAGCCATCAGAGGCAACTTCCCAGATGTACTTGTGTGCCTTCTAAAAGGGCCGAGTCAGTCTTAGTAAGTCATCCTCCCAGGATGGGGAGGAAAACAGATTGCTTCATCGCCCAAGATGGAACATTAGGGTATTCTTAGACTGGAACTCTATAGGCTAGTGGCACTAGTTTACATTTTACCAGGTAACTACAAGTTACAAATAATGAGTTTCGTGTAAAAAAGGAGGATAAAATATAATTAGTACTCTTTTTTTTGTATTTTATTTACTATAATTTTCAAAAATACATCAACTATTAGAATTTTTTCAAAACTGTTTTCTTTGCCCTATTTCTCCTTTTTCTCTTTTCCCTGCCAAGACAGGAGGAACAATGTTGTCTTTGTTCTTGCATTATCCTTAACCTCAAGTAAAGTGCTTTGTAAACATTAAAAATTGAATAACTTGCCCGGGCACAGCAGCTCCTGCCTGTAACCCTGGCACTCTGGAAGGCTGAGGCAGGAGGATCCCTTGAGTTTGAGACCAGCCTGAGCAAAAGCAATACCCCATCTCTATTAAAAATATTTTATTTACTTATTTATTTATTTTGAGACAGAGACTCCATCACCTTGGGATTGAGTGTTGTGGCATCATCAAAACTCACAGCAACCTCAAACCCCTGGGCTCAAGTGATCTTCTTGCCTAGCCTCCCTAGTAGCTAGGACTAGAGATGTCCACCGCAATGACCTAGCTCATTTTTCTATGTTTAGTAGAGATGGGCATCTCACTCAGGCTGGCCTCAAACTCCTGAGCTGAAGCAATCTACCTGCCTTGACCTCTGAGAGTGCTATGATTGCAGGGTGAGCCACCATGCCCAACCTCTACTAAAAGTAGAAAAATAAGCTGGCATTGTAGTGGGTGTCTATAGTCCCAGCTATTTGGAAATCTAAGGCAGGAAGATCACTTGAACCCAGGAGTTTGAGGTTGTTATGAGCAAGGCTGATGCCCTGACACTCTTAACCTGTGGCAACAGACTCAGGCTCAAAAAATTGAATAATTATGTAAGGAATTTAGATGGAATGGAAGAATTTTATCCTACTCCTCCATATTCTTGTCATTTTTTACCTTGATCTTCAGCCTATCCTGCCACTAACTTCTATCTAAAAACAAGCTGAGGGCTCAGCGCCTATAGCTCAGTGGCTAGGGCACCAGCCACCTATACTGGGGTTGATAGATCCAGACCTGGCCCAGGCCTGCCAAACAACAATGACAACAACAAATAGCCAGGTGTTATATCAGGCACCTATAGTCCCAACTACTTGGAAGACTGAGCTAAGAGAATTGCTTAAGCCCAAGAGTTTGAAATTGCTGTGAGCTGTGACACTACAGTACTCTACTGAGGGTGACATAGTGAGACACTGTCTCAAAAAAATAAAACAAGCTGAGGTCTCACTGAGTTAAAAATAAGACAGAAGGCTCGGCGCCTATAGCTCAACCGGCTAAGGCGCCAGCCACGTACACCTAGGGTGGCGGGTTCGAATCCCCAGCCCGGACCTGCCAAACAACAATGACGGCTGCAACCAAAAAATAGCCGGGCGTTGTGGCGGGCGCCTGTGGTCCCAGCTACTTGGGAGGCAGAGGCAGGAGACTCGCTTGAGCCCAGGAGTTGGAGGTTGCTGTGAGCTGTGATGCCATAGCACTCTACCCAGGGGGACAGCTTGAGGCTCTGTCTCAAAAAAAAAAAAAAAAAAGACAGAACCGACAAATTTTAGAAAGACAAGACTGAATTCATTGCCCCCATTTTCTTAGCAGTCTTTTTGACCTTCATTTAAAACACTGCCTTAAAGATCAATCTTCTCCTTCCTAGATGCCTATCACATTGTCATTATTTTCCATCGTTTTTGAACTCTAGAATTTGACACCAGTAACCACCCTTTTCTTAATGCTCTTTTTTGGCATCTATGATAGGGCACTACCTGGGTTTACCTTTAGTTTTTCTCAGGCATTCCTTTGTCTCCCAACTCAAGCAACCTTTTTTCTATCCCCAAATGAAATTCTTTATTTTGACCTTTTGCCTGTTTTATATTATACCTGCCTTCCATCCTATAGCTCAACTATTATTGTGGGTGACTCCCAAGTCTGTAAGCCATTCCCCTCTACTGGACCTAGGTCTTCTGTAGACTTTTCCCACTCCTGTTCATTGTGTACAGTGCTGCCAAAATAATGTTAACTCTTGTCATACAATTTTCATGCTTGAACTTATGCTGTGGTTTCCCACAGCCTGAACATTCCCACCTTGACAGTCTCACCTCATTTCAATCTTGACACTGTTCCCACATTCCAACAAAATACCATCACATACTTAGTTTCCCAAACTTGCTGAAGTTTTACATGTTCTTCACCCGTAAACTTTAGGTAACTTCCAGAGTATTCTATAAGTATTAGCTGTTTTTATTGATGTCTTAGCTTACATGCCACTTTCACAGTGATTTCTGTGTCTCAGAGAAGAACAAATGGATTTCAGCAAGAACAAAATTAAGGCACTCCCTGTGCAGTTTTGCCAGCCAGGAGCAATCTCTCTTGCCTTACCTATTTTCTGGCACCTGTTCCTTTTGAGAGCACCATCACTTCACACAATCTTAGTCTTTGTGCACGTGTCTTATCTTAGAGGCACTGGAAATTTGGGTCAGTTCATCTTAAACTCCAATCTTAAGTAGAATCTTTAAGGTTTTCCTGTCTTACTTTATATTCTTATGATTTAGCTTTTAACAATTTAGAATGTGTCTCTCAACATAACTTTTTTCAAAAGCCTTTAAAGTTGAAATTTAGTAAAAGCAGAATACTTCAAAATTTATTATTTTTTGAGACTGCATCCATTGCCTGGGATAGGGTACAGTGGTGTCACCATAAGTCACTGCAACCCTAGACACCTTCATTTAGGTGATCCTCTTGCCTCAGCCTCACAAGTAGCTGGGACTACAGACAAAAGCCACTATAGCCACCTAATTTTTCTATTTTGTATAGAGATGAAGTGTCACTATGTTGTTCGGACTGGTAAAAAAATGATTTTTTATAGCCAATTTCAATAAATGATTGTATTACATTCCAATATAATTCTACAGAATTTGTTATGGGAAGAACTAGCATATATATGTTATCAACAATGGAATTTATAATGTTACAACTTATTTTTGTTTATTCAGGCCAATTCCAGCAGTTTAAAGGGTTTCCTTTCAGCTGTGAAACTGGCTCACAGAGGCTGTGATGTTGAAGCCCCGCTCTCATTGCTGACACCTGTGAAGACTTCAGAATTTGAAAAATTTAAAACTAAAATGGTTATCACATCCAAAAAGGATTATCCTCTAAGCAAGAACTTTCCATATTCTCTGGAACATCTTCAGACTTCTTACTGTGGGCTCGTCCAAGTTGATATGCGTATGCTTTGCTTAAAAAACCTTAGGAAATTAGACTTGAGTCACAATCATATAAAAAAGCTTCCAACTACAATTGGAGACCTCATACACCTTCAAGAACTGAACCTGAGTGACAATCACTTGAAGTCATTTAGTGTAGCCTTGTGTCACTCTGCACTCCAGAAGTCACTTCGGTGTTTGGATCTCAGCAAGAACAAAATCAAAGCACTCCCTGTGCAGTTTTGCCAGCTCCGAGAACTTACAGATATAAAACTTGATGATAATGAATTGATTCGATTGCCTTTCAAGATAGGGCAACTAAGAAACCTTCGTTTTTTGTCAGCAGCCCGAAATAAGCTTCCATTTTTGCCTAGTGAATTTAAAAATTTATCCCTTGAATACTTGGATCTTTTTGGAAATGCTTTTGAACAACCAGAAGTCCTTCCAATTATAATGCTGCAAATGCCATTAACTTTATTGGAGTCTTCCGCAAGAACTGTATTAAATAATAGGTAAGATTTTAATAGTCCTAAATGTAGTACCTTTGATTCTAGTATTCTCATTAAACTCAGAGTAGTAGTTAAAGTCTGACATCGCCTCCTATGACCATGGGATAGTCTGACCCCATGCTATAATGGCCTTCCTGCTGTTTCTTGCCTCTTCCTACAATGGTCTTCCTCTAGGAAGTTTCATAGCTCACTTCGATTTTAGTCACTTCCCTGCCCAGTGTCATCCCAGAAGGGTCTCAACCTGTTCATCCTATCTAAAGTTGTATTGCTTTCCTCCTTACCTTGCTTGATTTTTCTTTTTTGTCATAGGACTCACTACAGCAGAACTTCTGTAAGTTGACCACCCAAGGGACTATAACAAACTGGTCAGTACGCAGAGGTGGTCAACATAAAGAACTAGGCCTGCTGTACTGATACATACATGTGGTGTGTGTCCAGTCTGTGAAAATTAGGTCAACTTCGGAGGCAACTCAGTGTAGCAAGGTGGTCCACTATGGAGGTTCTACTGTATATATGTATGTATATAGAGAGAGAAACAGAGTGAGTCACTGTCTCACCCCGTTGCCCAGACTGGAGTGTAATATGTAATCACAGGCTCACTGTAACCTCCAACTCCTATGCTCAAGTGATCCTCCTGCCTCAGCTTCTTGAGTGCCTATAACTACAGGTACACACCACAACATCCCGCTAACTTTTTTATTTTTTAAGAGTTGAGTTTCTTGCCATATTGCCCAAGCCTTTCTCAAACAACTGGCCTAAAGTAGTCTCCCACTTTAGCCTCCTTAAGTGCCGATATTACAGGGCTCAGTTTTTGTTTTGTTTTGTTTTTTAGCTTTCCAGATGATTGATTCTAATATACAGTTTGCGGGCGGCGCCTGTGGCTCAGAGAGTAGGGCACTGGCCCCATATACTGAGGGTGGCAGATTCAAACCCGGCCCCGGCCGAACTGCAACCAAAAAATAGCTGGGTATTGTGGCGGGCGCCTGTAGTCCCAGCTACTCAGGAGGCTGAGGCAAGAGAATCGCTTAAACCCAGGAGTTGGAGGTTGCTGTGAGCTTGTGACGCCACGGCACTCTACGCACTCTATACGCACTCTACCAAGGGCCACAAAGTGAGACTCTGTCTCTACAAAAGAAAAACAATAATATACAGCTTGCTATAATTAAAAACCAATGCTGGCTGGACATAGTGGTATGCACCTGTACTCCAAGCTACCAGGGAGGCAGAGGCAGGAGGATTACTTGAGCCCAGGACTTTGAGTCCAGCCTGGGCAACATAGCAAGACCTCCATCTCTTAAAAAAACAAAATACTGCTTTAGGTCATGCTTCTCAGACTTCTAAAGCATATTCAGATCTCTTGGGAGTCTTGTTAGAGTCTGTTTTGGAGGTCTGGGGTAGAGGTCCTATAGCTCTAACAAGCTTTCAGGTGATGCTGATTTGAAAAGGTTGCTGGTTACCACCCTCAGAGACTCTGATTCATTAAGTTGGGGATGGGGCTAAAGAAATTGTATCTCGTAATTACAAGTTCCCAGGTGATGCTACTGCTGTACGTGATGTAGAAGCTAGTGATAACACACTTTGGAACCTCTGGTTTAAGGCATTGACTCTTAACTAGGAGTTAAGAATTGCCTGTTAACGTGATTATACATGTAATTGCCTAGAGCAGTGCCTGGCTTATAAAAGATCTCAGTAAATATTTACTGGATATATAAGTACATGTAATTTGCTTGTCTGGCAATTAAAAATCAATCAATCAATTTGTCATTAGCTGTAAAGGAGCTTTGAAACTACAGATAAGAAATATAGATCCCTAAATTCCACTCAACACCAACTAGTTCAGAATTTCTGGAGATGGGCCTCTATGTTATATATATATATATTTTTAGCTCTTCAGAAGTGATGCTGACAATTCAGGTTAAAACCCCTGATTTGAAGGAATTTGAAATTGTGTCTTTTGGCAATGACTTTCTTCTGAGGAAATAATATGGCCGGGCATGGTGGTTCATACCTGTAATCTTAGCATTCTTGGGAGGCTGAGACGGGCAGATCCTTTGAGCTCAAGAGTTCGAGACCAGCCTGAGCAAGAGCAAGACCCCTGTCTACTAAAAATAGAAAAATTAGCTGGGCATTGTAGTAGGCATCTGTTGTCCCTGCTACTCAGAAGACTGAGACAGGAGAATTGCTTGAACCCGGGAGTTTGAGGTTGCTCTGAACTGAGGCCACAGCACTTTAGCCCAGGCGACAGAGACTGAAGAAGGAAAAAAAAAAAACCAGAAATTGTACATTGTATTTATTTGAACTTGAAAATTATGTCCAAATGAAAAAATATGAACAATTTTCAAGGATTGCAAAGACTACAACAAATTGGCTAAACAATCAGGAAAAAACTGACTAAAGTCCAACATGGAAAAATACAGCTTTGGAAGGAAAAAAAATAGATGATCAAAATGTAATATAGTTAACTGGCTAGGCACAATCCAGCAGCAAAATAATTTTATTATATTGTTTTCTAAACTTGACCTCTATTAATATAGCTCCTCGTAAAGTGACCCTAACCTTTACTGAAGATTAATTTTGCATGTTTTCAGCCCCTTTGTTTTAAAAAGAAATAGATCCAAAAACATGACAATACTTATTATCTAGCTGTTGATAAATGTCCTAACTAGTTGTTAGAAACAAAGTTATAATCTACTAGGAAAATATTTGGGAAAATACAGTAGATAGAAAATACAGTTTTTATTATCTGTTTCCTCAGACTGTGACTATCTATCCTGAAAGAGAAACATACGGTGTAAACATGTGATAGACACTTCTTGGCATTTTTTTAATGAAAAATAAAAAATTGCAAAGAGAGCCAATTCTAGATCCCCTTCTGAAGGTAACTACTATTTTTGCTTTGATGTGGATCTTTGCAGATCTTTTTAGATCTTCAGAAGTGATACTGACAATTCAGGTTAATACCCCTTATTTGGAGGAATTTGAAATTGTCTTTTGGCAATAAGTTTCTCCTGAGGCTATTGTTTCTCTAAGATATGTATGAAAGAAATAATATAATAAAAACCTTCTTCTGGAAGGGTTTAAACGCTAGTTTAAGTTACAAGGGTAGACTTATCTGTTGAAAAATATCTGAACACCTATTAATGTGCTAGCATAGGCCAGGGACTAGAAAAACAACAAAGAACGAGACAGTGTTTCCGAGACAGAGTAATGGGCATGGCTGTGTTTAGCCTGGAGGAGTTGGGCAGCGGGCAGGCAGTTGCAGGACTTTCTGTGTCTTGTAGATAAACGCAAGAGTTTGATATGATTTTAATTGCATTGGGTACCATTTAAGGGTTTTAATAGTCACATGGGGGAGTGTCATGGACTGACCCCACTTGTGTTTTTCTTGTGTATGTATTTGTTTATGCTGGACAACAAAATACACAAAAGCAAAATATCAGTGGGGTCAGTCCCTGCCACCCCATTTTGGGACACCATTCTTTTTAGTCAGTTATGCTATTAAGCAGCCATGCCAAAAGATACTTTATGGAGCAGTATCTTAACTTCACATTATGTCAAGTGTGGATTTTTAATATGTTTTTCCCATTCTTACCAATTAAGATAAAACAAATGAGTCACTTAAGTGATAAAGTAATTTATTTTTCCATTCTTGCATGCGTATAACTCAGTGTTTTAATAATTATGTCCTAATGTGTGAAGTTCTGAATCTAGTAACATGTTGTTAAACATTTTTTCCCATAGGATTCCATACGGCTCCCGTATCATTCCATTCCATCTTTGCCAAGATTTGGATACTGCAAAAACCTGTGTTTGTGGAAGATTCTGTCTAGAAAGTTTTATTCAAGGAACTACTAATATGAATCTACACTCTGTTGCTCACACTGTAGTCTTGGTAGATAATATGGGTAGTACTGAAGTACCTATTATCTCTTACTTCTGTTCTCTGGAGTGTTATGTAAATTCCTCTGATACGTTAAAGTAATAGATGATACCACAAAATGAAATTTCATTTATGGCCAGGTGCAGTGCCTCACTTCTGTAATCCTAGCACTTTGGGAGGCCAAGACAGATGGATTGCTTGAGCTCAGGAGTTTGAGGCCACCCTGAGCAAGAGAGAGACCCCATCTCTACTAAAAATAGAAAACACTAGCTGAGCATCATGGTGGGCACTTATAATCCGAGCTACTTGTGAGGCTGAGGCAAGAGGAACACTCTAGCCCAAGAGTTTGAGGTTGCTGTGAGCTCTGATGATCCCACAGCACTCTACCCAGGGCAACAGAGTGAGACTGTGTCTCGAAAAAAATAAAAAAGAATTTTCATTTGATTACATAGCAGTTGGGATTCATTTATGATAATAGTGTCACATTAGAGAAAAGGAAGCTTTTTGTATAATTGCTTGAGAGAAGGAGTATGTGTTATTCTAACAAATCATTTGACTCCAAAATTTTAATTTCATTAAAAATGAATTTAATTTTACTGTGTAGTTATATTTTTATCAGTTTATTACACTTATGTTGATTTCAGTCTGTAGTTTCCAGGATGGGTTGTGGGGCTCTCTTTTAATGTTAAACAGATAATGATCCAAATTACTCTGTTACTAAGAATTTTATCACCTTACTTTTGATATTTCAACTAAAGTTTGAGTTTCTGTATGTAGAAAATACACATTGAAGGACTAATGCTCTAAATTATACTGAAAACTTGTTTAGTATGAAACTCTATATATATGTAAGTTTTTAAGCATATTACTTTTTAAGTTTTTTAATTGCATTCTATGTATGGAATTTATATTTACCAATCATAAAATAGAAAGTGCTTTGGGAAAAACAGACTTTAGCTTTTATAAATTGTATAATGCTCACAATCTTTGTTGTGACTTCTGAGTTTTTTATTTGGGGGGCTAGATGGGAGAGGGAGCATAAAATTGCTACTTTTTAATGATTAAATTCTGTATTTGAGGGGGCTTTTTTGGTTTTTGTGTGTTTTTTTGTTTTGTTTTGGTTTCTGCAACAGTCTTACTTTGTCACCCTTGGTAGAGTGCTGTGGCATCACAGCTAACAGCAACCTTAAATTCTAAGCAATTATCTTGCCTCAGCCTCCATAATACCCCCCCACCCCAATTTTTAAAAATAAGGTCTCACTCTGCCTCAGGCTGGTCTCCAACTCCTGAGCTCAGGAAATCTACTCACTTCAGCCTCCCAGAGTGCTAGGATTATAGGCATAAGCCAGGTATGAGCCATGGCGCCCAGCTGGAGTTTTTTTTTTTTTTTATTATTTTTAAGTTTATAACTACACCAGCTAAATGATGGTTTGAACTAAGGCCAAAGGAATAGAAAAGTAACTGATTTGAAAGAATCATGGAAATTTTATTCTATTCATTCCGACTGCCCTAACAAATCAGCCTCTCCAATAGACCATTACAATAACCTCAAAACTTTTTTGTGAATAAAAAAGAAAGTTAAACTTACTGGAGAAAACCCTCTCCAATGTTAGCATAATATAATTGCTGCTTTGGGCTTGGAAGTAGGGTCTTTCTAAGACTTTTTTTTTTAATTTCCTTGCTTATTTTTTATTTTTATTTCTTTGCTTTTTTGTTGTTTTCATTGTTGAGACAGAATCCCACCCCCATGCCCTGAGCAGAGTGCAATGGTGTCATAGCTCCCTGCAACCTCAGACTTGGGCTATGGGCACCCTGGTGCCTCAGCCTCTGGAAGCTGCTGGGATTACAAGCACTTGAAATGCTGATTTCAATATGATATCTTGATTCTCAAAATAAATGAAGGTTTCATTGTCTTTTCCAGCTAACAGGTCTGTAACAGCTCCGTAACAGCTCCATATAAGGTTGAATAATTACGTTCAGAAACTCATCCTAGAAAAAATGCTGTGAATCTCATTGCCTATTATCACTATAGTCCTCCCAAGTACTCTCTTTGGGAGAGTCATCAGGAAGCTATGCACCAAGGCCAACACCTAGTCCACCTTCGAAACATTTTTTCTAGGATGAGTTCGCAGCCTTAATTATCAGACTCTCAAATAAGGACAGCTCTGATGGCCATTCCAGAAAAAGTTCTAAAATTGCTTTGAAGGATGGACTAGGCACTGGCATTGGTGCACAGCTTCTCAAGGGGAGTACTTCAGAGGTAACCAGAGTGATACTTAGTAATGAGGTCTGTAGCACTTTTTCTAGGTTTAGTTAGTGAACTTAATTGTCCAATGTTGTATTCTTCAAATGGTTCACATAAATCATCCTGCTCATCAATGACCTTTGCTAACTGGGGACAAAGTTCATCAGAAATTTCCTTTTGAAGAAATGTTTTGAAAAAAGGATAATGTTTCAGAATGCTTGGATTTTTTGGTCACATACCATATATAGCCTTAGTTTTACCTTGCAAAGAAAGTAATTTTGATCTGACATATATCACATGGAAATGCTGCATTCTTATAGAAATCTTCCAGTAATTCACATTGCTGATTCTGTTCTTCATAGAACTTAGCTATCCTCACAACAATAAAATTTTGGCTAACACCCATCCCTGTGATTGCCACGGCACTTTAGAATGATGCGGCAACCTACACTGAGTATCTCATCATTCAACTTACAAAACAACTGCATTAATACCCTTCTTTAAAGAATGGTGTATTTAAAAATTGTGCATATGGGCTCAGCGTCCATAGTTCAGTGGTTAGAGCACCAGCCACAAGCCTGCTAAACAACAACAAAAAAATAGCCAGGCATTGTGGCAGACTCCTGAAGTCCCAGCTACTAGGAAGGCTGAGGCAAGAGAATTGCTTAAGCCCAGAGTATGAGGTTGCTGTAAGCTGTGATGCCACAGCACTCTACCTAGGGCAACATGAGACTCTGTCTCAAAAAAAAAAAAAAAAAAAAAATTGTGCTTTTACATTATTGTAGGAAAACTTATTTTTCCAACAAATGCAGTTGTCTCTATTGGGGCTAAGTGGTACACATCTGTTACTCCCTACCCCCTAACCCAGGCGTCCTCAAACTACAGCCCACAGGCCACATGCAGCCCGCCTAGGACATTTATCCGGCCCACCGGGTGTTTTTGCTGCCACTACCTGTCCTGCTTAGCAGCCGACTCGACCCGGGGTCTTCAGTCCAGCCCTCGGTCTGAGGGACAGTGAACTGGCCCAGTTTAAAAAGTTTGAAGAGCCCTGCCTAACCTTTTTATTCTAATTCTACTCATTTAGTCATTCCCATGTGAATGTCTTAGTCCACTTTAAGACAGCCTATACACTTTCCCAATTTTTTTTTTTTTTTTTTAGAGACAGTGTCTCACTTTGTCACCCTCAGTAGAGTACTGTAACATCACAGCTCACAGCAACCTCCAGCTCTTGGGCTTAGGTGATTCTCCTGCCTCAGCCTCCCAAGTAGCTGGGACTATAGGCCCCCTTGGCAATGCCTAGCTTTTTTTAATTGCAGTTCGGCCAGGGCCAGGTTTGAACTCACTACCATTGGTATATGGGGCCAGCACCCTACTCACTGAGCCACAGGTGCCACCCTGCTTTCCCAATTTAATCCTTTCACTTGATACTCAACTTTTTTTTTTCTTTCCTTATATAGGTAGTGGACTCAATTCTTTTCATTCTGATTTTCAACTTTGCATTCTGTTGTCATAACTGCTTCCTCAACCCTCTCAACTGTCAAGAAGTTCTAATATTTGAATACCTCTTATGTATGTCCTAAGATGTTCAAAACACTAGGTTTATGCTATCATGTACTCATTTTTCACTTTCAGATTCAGAACTTTTTTGTACTTTTAAGTCAGTTTTGAACTCTTGTCATATATTGAAGACCACGATCTAAAATAAACATGCTGTTCTGGCTGGCAGGGTAGCTCAGACCTCTAATCCCAGTGCTTTGGGAGATTGAGGCAAAAGGATTGCTTGAGGCCAAGAGATTCAAATGAGCTATGATTATACCACAATACTTCAGCCTGGGTCACAGAGGGAGATCCTGTATCTAAAAGATTAACAGAAAAAAAATTTTTAAATTGTCCAAAAGAACTTTCTGTAGTGGAAATATTTTACATCTGTGTTGTCTGATAAGCTAGCCGTGTGTGGCTATTGAGTACTATGTTGCTAGTAACTGAGGAACTGCATTTTTAATTTAAATAGCTTTGTGGCTAGTGGTCCCTACTATACAGAACATTTAAAGTCAGATCTTACTGTACCTCAACTTGGATCCTGTGCATCTAGTTTATCTTCTTTTCTCAAAATATGATTGAAACCCTTCTCAGATGCTCCTACTTTTCACTTGCTCTATAACTTGGTGGTAAAGTTTGAGGCAGGACTTCTGTCTTTGTATGTAAATACCAAATTTCAACTCTTGGGAAATGAATTTAAATAGTGAGAATTTGATACAAATCTTTGCTCACTTCCAAAGAATTTTACTGTCAGCTCCTAAATCCAGAACCATAGTAAACATGCAATTCTACTTAAAGGTCAAAAAACACAAAAGGTTTGAATATCATTGTATTTATTTCCCTACAGGTAATTTTTCTATAGCTTCAACAATTTCTCCTCAAAAAGACAAAAAGTCTCAAAATTTAGAACTGGATCACTTGGCCCTTTCTTTTCTTATCTCCTCCCAGTTCAAAATGCTTGCATCTCTTAATGGCCAGCATCCTCTTGGATCTGCAGTTAGGCTCAACACATTCCAGCCTGAGCACGATCTTCTTTGTGGTTTTAGCCTTCTTCCGGAAAATTGGCTTCGTCTGCCCGCCATAGCCACTCTGCTTTCGATCATAGCGCCGCTTTCCTTGGGCATACAAGGAATCCTTGCCCTTCTTATACTGGGTCACTTTGTGAGGCTGATGCTTGCCACACTTCTTACAGAAAGTTCTTCGGGTTTTAGGTACGTTGACCATCTCTACAGTAGAACTGTCTCTATGATGAAATCTGCAGTAAAATATTTAAGGTAGCAGATATTAAACATTCTGAAAAGGGCTATACACTTAAATATTTATAGGAAAACTAGTATTAGATCAGCAATGTATAAATCCACCAAGTACTCTCTGCCCTATTATTAACTGCCCATACAAGTGCCTAACTTTTGGGAACACTTTAAAAAAAAACTGAGGAAAAATTTATGTAAATATAGTTTCTTTGGTCCAAGGTTGAGGACTGTAACTAGGGAATATAAACGCAAGTTGGCCTGAATATATGAGCTGGCTAACAGTAGTCACACGTGGGTTTCTTTCTTTCTTTTTTTTTTTTTTTTGCTGTTTTTGGCCCGGGCTGGGTTTGAACCCGCCACCTCCGGCACATGGGGCCGGCGCCGCACTCCTTGAGCCACAGGCACCGCCCCACACGTGGATTTGAGGCAGTTTCTAGGTTTACCGAATTATTTACATTAAAAATAACATAAGCTATTGATCAGCTATCATTGTTGGTTGTTTCACTAATTTCAGGAACCCGAAGATAATGGATAAGGCAGGTCCTTAGTAATAAAGAGACATTAAAGTAACTGCCCCCAGGCCGGGGTGGAGGTGGGGGTGCGAGTGAAGCTACACTCTCAGAGCCGGGTAAATTCTGCATACCTCCTGGAGCTTAGGAAGCTCTAAGCTATTTTTCTTTTCTCAAATGAAAAGACTCACTAAAAAGCAAGAGTAACAGCACTGGAAGGCCCAATACTGTCAGTTTCCTGTACTTAGCGGGTTTCCTTAGGGACTAGTTCACTGAGGCTGCCCAAAAAGTAAAGCGCAGTGGCGTCCATCTAATTCCCCTCCGCGAAAAAGAGAAGGCGAAGGCTGCATTTTCTTTTCTGCTCCTTTCCCCACACCCACCTCCTCCATTTTCCAGCTTCTGGCCAAGGCTGGCGCGGCGTACTGGCTACAGTCACGACCCGACCCGCTCCGTCCCCGAGAGCCACATCAGTGTGATGTCCCTTCTCGCTGCTGGAGCACGGTCACCGCCAGCAGCCCCGAGGGCTGACGTGTCCTTACAAGCCATTGTGCTCCGCGGCCCTGTACCTGGCACGCGTGAGCCCCTCTCCCGAAGCCAGTTCATGAGCTCGACCAGGGAGCGGGTCCCCCCCCTCTAACGCCCGGTCCAGCCCGGGACTCCGAGCAGCGGAGGGTCCCGGTGGAAGCCCTACCGTGCTGACCCTAACTTACCGCGAAACTCGGCGTCCACACTCCTCACCTCCCGCCGCTGGCGCTCACAGGAAAGAGCGGAGGGCAGCGGAAGTAGGAAGTGAACCTGAGCGACAGTCCTGCGAGCCAATAGGCAGCCGGCTCTCGTGGCCGGGCGCCTCCGGACGCTTCCGGGAAGCACCAATCAGGGTCCTCCGGGGCGGGCCGGAGGGGTGTGGGCCAGAGGGCCGGGGCGTTCCGCCGGCCAGTCGCGGGTTGTCAGAACCGTCGCTGCCGGAGTGTGGAGCGGCTGCGTGGCTCGGTCCTGGCCGTCTGGGGCCCGCGTAAGGATGAGAGGGCAGAGGACGCGGGGCCGCTGGAGGCGCAGGTAACGAAGCCGGGGTGCCGTGGGGCAGCGGCTGGGCTTCTTCCGGGACCCGCGGTGCTGAATGGAGAGGACCAAGGCGAAGCCGATCCGCGGCTCCTAGCGGTGGGGCCGCTGCCGGAGCTGCAGCTGCCTGGCGAGGATGTGTGGAGCCCGGGTGGCGTGGGGCAGCTGAGAGGATTCGGGCCCCAGGACTCTCGGGGCCCGGGATGAGTTAGCGAGGGCAGCGGTGGGGGGCAGTTTCGAGCGCTGCAGGCCAAGGCGACGGCCTCCGCCCGCCCGCCCCTTCCGAGCAGAAGCCGTTATCGCTTTTCCGCGCTCGCCGGTCTGTGTTCCCGGCCCTGGAGACCATGAGGTTCCGCATCTACAAACGGAAGGTGCTAATCCTAATGCTCGTGGTAGCAGCCTGCGGCTTCGTCCTCTGGAGCAGTAATGGGCGACAAAGGAAGAACGAGGCCCTTGCCCCTCCGTTGCTGGACGCTGAGCCCGTGCGGGCTGTGGGGGCCCGGGGCGGGGACCACCCTTCTGTGTCTGTGGGCATCCGCAGGGGCGCCAACGAGTCGGCAGCTCAGCTGGTGCCGGCGGCCCCCCAACCGGAGGCTGACAACCTGACGCTGCGGTACCGGTCCCTGGTGTACCAGCTGAACTTTGATCAGACGCTGAGGAATGTAGACAAGCCTGGCACCTGGGCCCCCCGGGAGCTGGTGCTGGTGGTTCAGGTGCATAACCGGCCCGAATACCTCAGACTGCTCCTGGACTCACTTCGAAAAGCCCAGGGCATTGACAACGTCCTCGTCATCTTTAGCCATGACTTCTGGTCAACAGAGATCAATCATCTGATCGCTGGGGTGGATTTCTGTCCGGTTCTGCAGGTGTTCTTTCCGTTCAGCACTCAGTTGTACCCCAACGAGTTTCCGGGCAGTGACCCCAGAGATTGCCCCAGAGACCTGCAAAAGAATGCAGCTCTGAAATTGGGGTGCATTAATGCTGAGTATCCCGATTCCTTCGGCCATTATAGAGAGGCTAAGTTCTCCCAAACCAAACATCATTGGTGGTGGAAGCTGCATTTTGTATGGGAAAGAGTCAAAATTCTTCGAGATTATTCTGGCCTTATACTTTTCTTAGAAGAGGATCACTACTTGGCCCCAGACTTTTACCATGTCTTCAAAAAGATGTGGAAATTGAAGCAGCAGAAGTGTCCTGAGTGCGATGTTCTCTCCCTGGGGACCTATACTGCCAGTCGCAGTTTCTATGGCATTGCTGATAAGGTAGACGTGAAAACTTGGAAATCCACAGAGCACAATATGGGTCTAGCGTTGACCCGGAATGCCTATCAGGATCTGATCAAGTGCACAGACACTTTCTGTACTTACGATGATTATAACTGGGACTGGACTCTTCAGTATTTGACTGTATCTTGTCTTCCATCGTTCTGGAAAGTGCTGGTTCCTCAAGTTCCTAGGATTTTTCATGCTGGAGACTGTGGTATGCATCACAAGAAAACCTGTAGACCATCCACGCAGAGCGCCCAAATTGAATCACTCTTAAATAACAACAAACAGTATATGTTCCCAGAAACTCTAACTATCGGTAATAAGTTTCCTGTGGCAGCCATTTCCCCACCTAGGAAAAATGGAGGGTGGGGAGACATTAGGGACCATGAACTCTGTAAAAGTTATAGAAGACTGCAGTGAAAATCACAATTATAAAAACAAAAGTGACAGTCTTCTATTTTTGATATTTGTCTAAACAGGATATACAATTGAATGAAAGAGTTTAGGAACTGGTTTCTGCTTTAATACAAAAATTCTTGTAAAAGGTGTTCAAATACATAGTAATCTTTTCCAGTTATGTCTGATTAAGATTTAAAACTGAAGTTTTCATTTTCGGAGTAGGGTTTTAAAGCTCAATATGTATCTGCTAAAAATAATGATATTGTTAATTGATATGAAGAGGGGAAATTTTATTTAAATTGCATCTATTAATCTTTTTATCTGAAACTTTGTACTTTTCCACTTTCAAAACTTATTTTAAGTACAGCAAAATTTATTTAAAACTGTCATAGCAGTAAAAAGTATTACAATGAAATTGTTAAAGAGTATTAATGGAATAAGCCCAGTTTCACTCTCAACACAGAAGGGGTTGCTTCACTGGTTTAATAATTCAAGTTATGTTTGTTAAACATCTTGTCAGAACAGTCATTTTCAGTATTATAGATTACTGTTGTGCTAAGATTTGCCTGTGCTTTGGAACCTTCATAGAACACTTTCTTTTGGAATGTATTTGATTGGTAAGAAAGTTCAAACATTGTTTTCACCTCAATGTAGAAATACAGTGGTTTTTTTTTTTTTAGTGCTGCCAAAATAAAATACTCATTTTTGCATAAATGGGTTCCTAAGGTTATTGCAGAATAAGTTTTGTTAACTCTTTACACCAAAAATTCAGTAGAGGCATTGTCAAGTTTTCAAAGTTAGCATTATTACCTTTTAATGTTTACTTATCTATACATTGTATAATTGAGTTTAAATAAAACCTAGCTCATGATGATGCATTCCCTTTGGAAGAAACTGTTTGCCTTTCAAATTAGCCAGGCATAGATAATGAACAATAAAAAGTTGCTGTGTAAGGGGAAAACAGCCTAAATTGTTTTTGAAAGCCAGAAATGATACAAAGTTCAGTCATGCCAAAGTGAAATACTCCTTAGTGCCAGCTTTAACTGAAATCATACTTTCTAAAAAGATACAATAAATAACAGGCAACAGGCTTAAAATTTACTCCATGTTGGCCAGGCAGTGGCTCATACTTAGCACTCAGAGAGGCAGCAACAGGTGGATTGCCTGAGTTTAGGAGTTCAGGACCTTGTCTCTACTAAAAATAGAAAAACTACCCAGGTATTGTGGCAGGTGCCTATAGTCCCAGCTACTCTGGAGGCTGAGGCAAGAGGATTGCTTGAGTCCAAGAGTTAGAGGTTGCTGTGAGCTCTGATGCCACCGCACTCTACTTAGGGGAACAGAGTGAGACTCTGTCCCCCCCCCCAAAAAAAAATTCATGTTAACATAGTTTATACAAGTTCTCCTTTAAAATTGCAGTCAACCAAAAACTACTTACAAAAGATTAATTTCTGCATAAAGGTATTAGAATTAGCCATTTAAACCTAAGGAAACAAATACACAGCATCAAAGTTACTCATCAATTTAAAGTTTGTAGTGATTGAACATCACATGACCCCTTGCTTTGTGAGCTACCTTTCTACTACCCTCACAGCTCAATCTGGTGCCAGATTTTAACTGGGGGTTATAGTTGTAAATTGCTGAATCAGTACACTCTGTACTTTTTGGTACTCTGACTTGACATCACCACTTCAAAGGACTAAGGAAATGAGGGGATTTCCAGGGCTGAGCTAAGGTCAGCTAAATTAGTAGCTGTTTTTTGGAACAAAAATAGATCATGGCCTTAAGAGTTACTGATTAGATCAACAAACATTTTTCTTCCTACATTTTCTTTCATGTCATCCTACATGTTTTTAGGATCTGCTCTTCGCAAATTTGAGGTGTTGTAAAATAAAATAATTATTTAGGAGGCTAAGGTGGAGGTTCGCTTGAGTCTAGGCCTTTACATCCAGCCTGGGCAGTATAGCAAAACTCCATCTGTTTTAAAAAATTTTTAAAAGAAATTACTAAACACTGGCTTTTGTTTTTATGTAATAATAAAAGGAAGACAATTTTCCTATCACATTGCCAGATTCTTAAAATTCTTAAATGTATTCTATAAAACCAAGATGGTTTACAGTTTTCTTTTTTGAGACAGAGTCTCACTTTGTCGACTCCCCGCAACCCCCACCCCCCAGAGTACCTTGGCATCATAGCTCACGACGACCTCAGACTCCTGGGCTCAAGCAATCCTCCTACCTCAGCCTCCTGAGTAGCTGAGACTATAGTACCTGCCACAATGCCTGGTTATTTTTAGAGACAGCGTCTCAAACTCATAAGCTCAGGCAATCTTCCTGCCTCGGCTTCCCCGAGTGTTAGGATTACAGCTGCCATGGCACCCAGCCCAATATTTTACTATTTCTAGTCACAAATTCTTTTTAAAAATTGAATTGTCCAGGTCATTAATAAATAATTTAACCTCTATTATATATAGTTGATGTAACAGAAGAGTAATTAATAAAAAATACTAAATTTCCTTTGGTGTGTCTATTGAAATTGTTGAGATGGCTAATATTGGTTAGTAAAGTTCCTTCCCCTCTAAGAACCTCTATTTTAAGTGTCAATACATCCCAGTTACTGAGATTTAAGTTTTGAGATTTTACCCCCCCACACACACACACACACTCCTATTTCCAGTTAAATTTCTGAGAATTACTTTGTGTGACAAACGCAACTTAGTGAATAATTATTTTGAACTTTATTAATGTTAAACAAAGGAAGAATTAACATAGAAGTAAATATATACAGGTTGTATTAAAATAAAATGTTTAACTCTCCATCAGAAGCATCACAACCCTTATCTCCTTAACTAAGGAAACTTCATTTAAATTCTAGAGGCAAAAAAAAAAAAAACTCCAGTTTTCCCAGTAGAATCAAAATTGCAAATTTTGGATGAATTCCATATAATTTTATCTATTTTTTATATAATTATAGTTCTATATAATCAATCTAAATCATATAGCAAAGAATTCTGAAAACTGAATGCACAATGTGTCACGTGATCTTTGATAATCTGCATACTACCATCCTCCATATTGGTTTCTTTTATGCTGTCAACATCAGGCATATTGTGAACTGTAGTTTTACTCAGTAATGAAGATAGGTGATCTCCATCTAACTCTTTTTCTTCAGTTATTACTGGTTCTTTTAAGTTATCTTTTTCCTTACTTGAGTAAGTAGCACATTTTTCTTTTATAAATTCAGGTTCCATCTGCAATTCAGGTGGCTGAGATTTTTCACATAGCATGTGAGACTTCTGCTGAAAACATGCAACTGAACCACAACCATCTATTTGTAGAGCTTTAACTTCTACAGATGAATCGGAATCATTTGTAGAGGTGGTAAAATGTTCTACGTTTTCTTTTTGAGTTAGATGACTTCCTTTACTGACTCTTTCTTCTTTTCCTTGAAGCTGATCAGAGTTGCTATATTCTTGCAACTATGTCAAGAGAAATAACAAATTAACAACAAATTCTTGAAAACAATAGAAAACTAAACTGTATTATCTTCTGGGAATAATTTTTTTTTAATGAGGTAATCTTTGCAGATATGCATCCCCCCCC